ACTCCAGGTGGCCCACAGGGCCTGGGCACTCACAGTCCCAGCCCTGCAGTGCCTGCTCCCATGGTGGCTAATAAAGTTGAATCAATATTTGATGCCTAATTATTAAATATTTAAAAATGTAAAACTGAGCTAGTTTAGGCGTTCCCACACATGAATAATTCAGCCCTAGCAGGGGCTCTGCACAGGGCCTGAGCAGAGCCAGCAGTGCTCACGGCCTGCCGGGGCCCAAGGACGAGCGTCCAGAGGCCGCGGGGAGCCCTGCTCCCCGGGTGGACCAGCCTCCGTCCAAGCCACCGGCCGGGGCAGTCGGGAGAGCCGGTCCACCCCTGTCCCAAGCCTTGGCCTTCCCGTCGCGGAGCCAGCCACGGAGGCTGCTCCTGGTGAGCAGTGTGGAGCTAGGCAGCCTTCACCCCCGCCGTGGCTGCCCCTGCTGTGCCTGGGGTGACCAGGCTGTGTGTGAATGTAGGAGCTGGTGGTCCCCGCTCTTAGAAAAGCAAGCGGTGTCCCCTCAGCCCGCGTCCTGCCCCCTGCCAGGCAGTCCCGAAGGTCTTCTTCTTGCCGTTTCTCGGTTGTCCTGGGAGTGGACCCTTTTGCACAGAGATGCTCTTTATAACGATAAAGAATTCAACCTTTTGTTGCTTTTGTAAAGCCTGAAGATCTCAGCATTACCTAAGTGTTTTTTATTCACTTTTCAGAAAGAAAAATGACTTTGTCCTGAGTCCCCAAAGGACAATTTCAGAAGCTACTTCCAACTCCTAAACAGCATCCTTGCAGGAGCCCAGCCTGCACAGGCAGCCCACAGGGGCCTGTCCACAGCCAGCTTGGGGCGCCCCCGCTGTGGCAGCCACCCCCGCCCTGCACTGGGTCCCTCCATGGAGTGGGGGTGGGGAGGACGCTGGGGTGCTGATCCCAGCACCAGCCCCCCTTGGTGCTGTTAGCACCCCCTCCCATCCGGGGCCCCCAGCCGCCCTGGGCTTGCATCACCATCGTCTCTGGGACAGAAGGCCTTTTGGAGCACCTGTGGGAGCCTCGTGTTGCCATGATGGCCATGGGCAGCGTCCTGAGAAGGGCATGGGCCCGCCCGTGACTGGTCGTGGGCAGCCCTCTGGGAAGGGCATGGGCCCTCCCATGACTGGCCGTGGGCAGCGTCCTGAGAAGGGCATGGGCCCTCCGATGACTGGCCGCATTCCTCATGGCCAGAAACACACGCCGTCCTCTGGGGACACATGAATCCCACCCCCTCCGGGGCTCCTCTTGCCTCTCTGGCCTCCGCTGGCCTCCGCACACTGCCTGGCGCTCAGACTGCGGCCCGCCACCGCGGCTGGCCTCCCTGGGCGGCATGCCCCTGCTGTCAGCCGCTGCCCTTCGTCTGCAGTTCCCGCCCCGCTGTGTGTTCGGAGGGCGCGGCCGGCAGGGAGGGCTTCTCGGAGACCTCTGTCTGCCCTCGGGCCCCAGACGGGAGCCGGTTTGCAGGGAGCTTTGTGGCCCGCCTTGTTGGGTTGGTGGTCGGTCCTGCTGGTGGCCCTGGGATCGGACGCCCGTGTGGATCCGGCTCCTGCTCCCTGCAGGAGGTGGCGTGTGAGCCCGTCCGGCCTGGGAGACGCGGCCTCTGCTTCCGGAGGCTTCTGTGTGGTGTCGTTGACATTTCTCCTGCCCGCCTTCCGAAATCTCTTTCTGTAAAATTCCCGCCAGCTTGGTATTGGGGTGCCCAGGGCCGCTGGTTTCATCCTGTCTTTGGTCTTTTCCGTTTGTTTTCTGCGTCTCTGGGAGGCATCCTCTGCTGTCTGAGCCCCTCCCCGACGTCCGTGGGAGCCTGACCCCCGCCGTGGGGCGGCCTCTTGGACGAGGCTGGACGTTGCCGGTGTCTGTCCGTCCAGGTTGTCTTGTTCCCGTCTGTACGTTAGAAGCTCCTGCGGGTCCTGTGACTCTGGTGTCTTCTGTGGATGCTTCTCTGGGTGGGCGGGGGGCGGAGGCTGGCCAGGGCCTCCCTCTGGGGCTCATCTGCCGGACAACCGTGTGGCCCCAGCCCCCTTTCCGGAATGGCCGCTGCCCAGCTGCTGGGGTTGAGGGCTCAACAGGGAGCTTAGCTGCCAGGCCCCTCAGTCCCCCCAGATTCAGAGAGACTCCCAGTCCCCCCCAGACACAGAGAGACCCCCTCACTGCCCCCCAGACAGAGACCCCCTGACTCCCCCTACAACCAGAGAGACCCCCTCACTGCCCCCCAGACAGAGGAGACCCCCTCACTGCCCCCCAGATTCAGAGAGAGCTAGGGAGACGCTCTCCGGCTGTGTTAGTCAGCGGGGCTGGGGGAGACCGTCCCTGCCACAGGTGTGCGTCCCTGGAGCATCTTGTGGGCATCTCGGGAAGGGAGTGTCTGAAACGGGCCTTTGGGCCTGAGGCTGGACTCTTTCTCCTCCCGGGGAGGCGGGTCCCCTCTGGGGCAGGAGGAGCGGGGTGACGCCCTCACCTGGACCCTCAGACCCCGGGCTGCCCAGACTGGGCGCAGGCTGCCCGTGGGCACAACTCAGGCCTGCTGGTGGGGTGGGGAGGAAGGCTCAGCTCAGAGGGGACTGCCTGCAGGCTGGAGGGCAGGACGGGCAAGGGATGGCTGGCGGGTCCCGCACCGAGGCTTAGGGCCCTCTCAGCTGTGCCTGCTGCCGGGGCTGGCAGGGAGGCCAGGGGCCTTGCACAGGGCCCGGGGGTGAGGCTTCTGTGCCTAGCACAGTGGAGCGGCCTGGGAGAGCTCGTGGGGGTGAGGTCTGGGGCTGGGAGCTTAGCAAGCCAGGCAGCCTCTGGCTGCTGGCTGCTGTCAACCAAGAGTGGCCATCGCCAGCAGGTCAGGCCCAAGGCCGGCCTGAGCCCCGGTGGGACAGCTGTGACTGTGCTGCGGGCTCCAGGTCTTGGGCCCCTGGCCCTGCCAGGGGAGACCTCTGCTCGTTCTGGGAGAGGCTGCGCCAGAGCGCTGCTGTTTCCACGGAGGAAGGACTATCTTTTATTTATTTAATCCAAGCCATTCTGTAAATTATTCATTCACGTTTATGTAAGCGATTGAGCTACACGGATCGTGGGGGCAGGTCAAGGCACGGACTCTGCCCCGAATCAAAGGGGCCGCCCCCAGGGTCCAACCTGGACAGGCTCTGCTGCCCCCGTGGACCAGGCCGCCCAGGGCCAGGTACCCTCGGCCGGCGGCCGCCCACGAGACCTGGAAGACGCTGCCCCCGAGCCCTGTGTCCCAGCCTCTCCTTGTGGGCTGAGGGCTGCACTGGGCCTGGGGCGAGACCTGCCCCCTGGGGTCCTGGGGCCGTCCCGGCAGGTCCACGAGCAGCAGGCAGCTTGGGTCACCCACCTGCTTTGGGGTCTGTCGGCGGGGGAACAGGCTTCGTCTGCACACAGCGGGCATCCCCTCTCATGGCCGGGCTGCGTGCATCACACAAATGCTCCCATCCCCATCGGGCATCCGAGAGCTCATGGGCAGTGCGGCCTGTGTCCGGGGTGAGATGCCCCCACATGCTCGGCCATGAGCGCTTCCTCCAGAACAGGTTTTACCCCCGTTAACGGCCCATCCTCGGTGGCTCAGCTGAGGGACACGGGGAGAACCTGGAGTCAGAGCGGCCCGCTGCCTTCCTGACTTCGAAGTCTGATTACTGGGTTGATAAGGGCCCCGTCCCCAGGCTCGGCTCTGGAGTAAGGGCGCCCCTCCGGCCTTCGGGGTGGGAAGCCATCCAGGAGTGCGGGGGCCGTGGAGAGGCCTGGAGTTGGGGGTCCCTGGTTCCGGGCCGGGCTGCCCCAGCGCTGCAGGCTGTGTAGACAAGACTTGGGAAGTGTGCTAGAATCCTGGCGTGTTGTGGAGCCTGAGGGTCTTGAGGTTGGGGTCAGAGGGCCCCACCTCTGATGTGGATCTGCGGTCAATGGTCGGCCGCCTGCGTCCACGCTTATGAGATGGGGGACCCCGCACACACCTCGTGGCCGCAGTGGCTGCCATCCCCGTCCCCCCAGCAGCGCCTGGCCCCGGGCCCCACTCAGTCCAGCCTAATCCTCAAGACGGCTGTATCCCCGACAACCCCTGGAACCAGTGTGGGGGGAGAGGTGGGGGGGGGGTCCCTCTCCCCGGAGTGCAGGCTCCCTGCCGGCCCTGTTGCCTCCTCTGAAAGACACCCTGACAACATCCTCTCATCTTAAAGCAGCCCTGCCAGGGCGCTCACACCTGCACCAGATGCCCTGGGTCCTGAGGGTCAGCCTGCGGCTGGGGCCGCTTGCGTCCCGGTCACAGTGAGGGGGTGTTCCTCGGGGACGGCAGGCCGCACACTAGGCTGAGGCTGGAGGCCCGGGGGTCTCGCACCCCCCGGGCAGCATCGGGCCTCATAGGCGACTCTGCGCTGAGTGCAGCCGGCTCGTTAATCACGGGGCTGAGCCGAGGTTTAATTGCCGGGACGGCGTCTTCGGGCGGAGGATGCATGTAACTGCTGTGTGCGCTCCTGGTGGCTTCAGCAGCTGCTTCCTCCCCATGCGGCCCTGCCCTGAGCTCTCCAGTTAGGACAGGGCCGGAGGGCCCCGCCCTGAGCTCCCCGGTTAGGACGGGGCCGGAGGGTCCCGCCCCGAGCTCTCCGGTTAGGACGGGGCCCGGGTGCCCTGCCCCACCCCACACCCAGGGAGCCGGTCTCCCAGGGGCTGGTCTCTGGGAGGCCGGCCGGGGAACCACCGGCAGTGTGATCCGAAGTCTCCAGATGACCTCCGCTCCCGCGGCCCCCTCCCCCCGTGCTTCTCTGTGGCAGCCTGGGGAGTGTTTGCCCCGGGACAGACCCGGGGCTGGAGCCCGGGGTGGGGGTCCCCGTCCACGCCGAGGAGGGGTGAGCCCAGCTCGCTGTCCTCATGGGGAGCCGCACATGGCCGCCTGGCCGCCGGGCGTGGCATGCACCCCCCTCACCCCTCAGTCGACGCCCTGCCGCCCCGACTGCCCTCCTGAGACCCCAGGGAGCTGACCCCGCCGTCCCCCCCCACAGAGCTGAAGAAGCAGGTGGAGAGCGCGGAGCTGAAGAACCAGCGGCTGAAGGAGGTCTTCCAGACCAAGATCCAGGAGTTCCGGAAAGCGTGCTACACGCTGACTGGCTACCAGGTGGACATCACCACAGAGAACCAGTACCGGCTGACGTCCATGTACGCCGAGCAGAAGGCCGACTGCCTCATCTTCAAGGTGGGACGCGGTGCGCCCCGGGCCCCGCCCTGCCCTCCTCCCTCAGCGTCCGCCCCCCGGGGGGGGCCCGGGACTCCGTGTCAGTGTTCTCTGGGGGCTGAGGAACAGGGGGAAAGTCAGGGAGGGGCCCTCAGCACGGCCGCGGGTGCAGCTGGACGGCGGTGGACGGGACCAGTGAGAGAGCCCCGAACCCGAGCTGCTCCCGTGGTCAGGGGCCACCAGGCCGGGGCCCCAGGGAGGGCTTTCGGGGGCCAACAGCATGGCTTGGGCTCTGCCGCACCCGATGGTGGGAAGTCTAAGCAGCTCAGCGCCCTTCTGCCCTCTTGCTGGACCCCAGGGTGCTGAGTCAGGGCGGGAGCCCCATGTCCAGCACGGCCCCCTGCCTGCCAGCTCAGAGCACGTGCAGAGTGTGGGCTGAGGGCGGGAGGGACCCAGAGAAATGGTGGCCGGCGGCGTCCTCCCCTCCAGGCACCCTGTGTGGAGCACCTGTCTCGCTGGGCTTGGACTCAGGGCCCTTCTGGCCCGGCCTCAGGGGTCAGGGGTCAGAAAGATTCCCGGCCAGCCGAGCTCCAAGGAAGGGTCTCGGGGAAGTTGGCGGGAGCAGAGGCCAGCCCTGCCGCCTGGGGCAGACACAGGCTCCTGGGGCCACGGGTCCGGCTGAGGAATGACCACAGGCGACGGCAGTCTCCGTGATTCATTGTTTTCCCAGAGGTGGTTTCGCAGGCAGCAGGGGTGCTGGAGGCAGAGTTAGAAACAGCTGCGCAGTCGCAGGTGGGGGGCGCAGGTGTGCAGAGGGGAGGGCGGGCCTGGGCGGCCCCGGGGGAGGGGGAGCTACCTGCCAGAGCTCAGCCCCACATCTCCCCACAGGGCCTGGCCCCCGGCCCGCCTGCCCCCGGGAGTGGGCCCGGAGCCCTCAGGCGTGCCCGGGAGGTGTGTCCCTCAGGAGTGGGCCCGGAGCCCTCAGGCATGCCCAGGAGGCGTGTCCCCCAGGAGTGGGCCCGGAGCCCTCAGGCGTGCCCGGGAGGCGTGTCCCCCAGGAGTGGGCCCGGAGCCCTCAGGCGGCCCGGGAGGCGTGTCCCCCAGGAGTGGGCCTGGAGCCCTGAGGCGTGCCCGGGAGGCCTGGCCCCCAGGAGTGGGCCCGGAGCCCTCAGGCGTGCCTGGAAGGTCTGTCCCAGGAGCTGACAGCCAGGGTTCCTTTGAGCTGGGAGGAGGTGGGGGTTTCCGGGCGCCCCGCGTGCGGGCAGCCGCTTCTCTTCCCTGTGGGCCTCAGTGTCCCTGGGCCCTGTGGTGCTCGCCTGCGGCTCTGAGTGCCCACCCGGGCCCCGCTGGCCACCACATTCTAGTACGGGCACCGCGTCCGTCCACTGCCCAGGCCCGTAAGTAGTGCAGATGGGTGTGGTGTCTGGAGGCCCCACAGCCTGAGCCTTCCCGCGGGCCCTGTCACCAGCGTCACGGCCGTGTCAGCAGTGTCACGGCGGCCCCGCTTTCTGAGACCCGAGGGGACGGGGCCCAGGGATCCGGGGGGAGGTGGCTGCTTCTCGCATGCCCGCACCAGGGCCGCGGCGTGTGCGCCCGCGTGTGGAGGCGCCGTGGGGGCGGAGCTGTGTCCCTGGGCCCTGTGCAAGGGGTGGTTCTGTTAGGAGTGATGAACCAGGACTCGTGTGTTGTTTTAACTGTGGAGTCCGTGGGTCCCCTCTGTGTCATCCAGGCTGTGGGTTTTGACAAACGCGAGCTGTCGCATCCCACAGAACAGCTTCGCGCCCTGAGCAGCCCTGTGCTCACCACCGCCTGGCACCCCGGTCATCACCGGCTCCGTGGCTCTGCCTTTCCCGGAGGCCCTGGACTCACAGGTCTGCTTCCTTCCTTGCTGACCCGACTGGGGCCCCAGCTCTCCTCCTCCTGACTTGCCGGCTGGCTCCTCTTTAGCTCTGAGCCGTCTTCCCATCGGGGCCACCCACGGCTGGCTTGTCCGTCACCTCCTAAAGGACATGGTTGTTCCCAGGCTTCAGCAGTTACGGACGAAGCTGCTGTAAACAGGTGGAAACCTTTTCGGCCGCGTGAACGTGTAAACGCAGCCTTAGCCCGTGGGCGGCGCGGAAGCCGGAACGCAGCTGGGCGCGCCGTGGTCTGAGGCTGCCTCCCTGCTTCTGCACCCGGCACGCCTTCCCTGCGCGTGTGTGTCCAGGTCAGCCAAGCTGGCCCAGCTCAGGCGCGGCCTCCGCCGGAAGCGGGGGCCACCTTCACCCCCTCTGTCCTCCCAGCACGGCCCTGAGGCGAATCCGGCCGAGGAGCTGGCGTTGTTCTGGGCCTAGCCTCGGGCCCAGAGAGAGCGGCAGGTCCCCGAGGGTCGGAAGCAGGGAGCGGAGCCTGCGCGTGGGGCCCACCCGCGTGTCCTGGGGGCATCTGGTCCTCCGCATGGCCCCTCGGTGTCAGCTGTGGCCCAGAGCCGGCGGTGGGTCGGCGTCTGCGGGATGGAGGTGACTCCCTAGGCGTTGCTGTCAGCCGGGGGGACAGTGCTGGACCGCGGGCCAGAGCCTCGGAGGTGAGACTGTCCCTGGCGCTCGTGAGCGGGGCGCCTTCTTGTGGCTCCGTGCGTGCCCTGGCAGGGCACAGGGATGTGCGGGGGGCCCCGCCTGCCTCTGTCCCCTCGGACCCGGTCAGCGCGCCTCCCGGGGGCCCATGGCTCCGCCCTTGAGAAATCCACAGTGGGCAGTGCAGTGGGACGGGTTCCTGCAGTCTCCAGGCTATGCAGTCCCCACCAACCGGACACCCTGCCCCCTCACGGCCTGTCTAGCACGCCCCGCTTGTTGGGCCCTGCGGATAGGCAGAGCAGAGTCCACCCCAGGGCGCCCGTTATCAGGGGTCAGAGACTCAGGTCGAGGCTCCTGTGGCCCAGGCCCGCCGGTCCTGATTAACTGTGCAAACCTCATTAGTTCACATCAAAGTCTGTGGAAGGTACTCCTCCGGGGGCCGCGTGAGCAGCCTCTGCTTTCCAAGGAGTGGCCCCCCTCGGCTCTCAGCCCCACCCGCCCGGGCGCCGTGGTCAGTCTGCCCCTCCTCCGAGGCGCGGCTGCCGTGAAGAATATTAAAGCAGTTTTCCCAGGAGACGGAAAGGAGCAGGGGGTCTGGAGACCTGCATGGCCCAGCGTCCGGTGTGGTCCCCGCGGAGCTGGGGCTGGGCCGGACCCTGGTGTCTGTCCTGGGAGCACGGCCGTGGCACAGGCGCCCACAGAGCCCCTTGGGGAGCTGGAGTCTTGGGGGCCGCTGGGCAGGCTGGGCACTCTGACGGTGACCCTGCTGCGGGCAGCCCTCACGTTCACTATCTGTTCGCTGCCCCACACATGCTGGATCAGAAGGCCCCGTGCTGGGCCCAGTGTGGGGGCCGAGGGGAGCTGCCCCCCGTCCCGCCCCTCAGCCCCACCTGTCACGACCCTCCCCTCCGCTTCCCTGAGACCCGCCGACTGCCCGTCCCTCCAGCCTCAAGGCGGAGAGGGGTTCTGCCGTCACCCGCGGGGGCCCCCGGCCCGGGTCCTGGGGACTGCCCTTACACGGCCCCTCTGTGGCTCACGGCTGCACCCCTTCAGGAAAGGGCCTGAGTGCAGTGACCGAGCGCCCCTGGAGACGGGTGGAGACCCCCGGCGGGGCTGCAGGGCGGGGCCTCAGCTCCCCCTCGGTCCTCAGGACCCGGCGGACCCCGGGGCTGGACAAGCGAGGTGACCGGGCTGGCCTATTGAACCCCGCCCCACCCCGCACCCAGTCCTGTAGCTTTAACTCACCTGGGAACCAGGACCCCGGGGTCTGGGGAGCCAGGAGCCTGGGGGGTGCTGGCCCCACAGGCAGGGGCCCGGCATGTGCCTGGCTTCCCGCAGCCAGCCCAGGTTGGGGGCCGGGTTTCCCCTTATACGGGGCAGGCGGCTTGGCTTCGGGTCAGAAATCCTCAGGTCAGGATGGACGTTCAGAGTGCCAGGGTCAGCGCGTGTTTGGGGCAGGCTTGGAGCTGAGGGGGGAGCTGTGGGGAGCGGGGTGCCCCCCCAGGACAGTGCCCTGGCCTGTGCTCCTCTGCCGACCCCCAGCTGTGACGGTGATGGTGATGGTTCTCTCAGGCGATGCCGGGGCAGCTCCCACCTGCCGCTTTCTTCCTGCAGTGGAGGCGGGTGCTTCTCGGGGGCTGGCTGGCCCCTCCCCTACCCGCGGCAGGCTCCCCCCCGCCCCCCCAGATGCAGACGAGGCTCCATGCCGCTGATTTGTGAACTCATTGTCAGGGTTACCCTGTGGGAGGCGTGTTTGTTTTCACGTTACGCTGGTGATACAGAGCTTGCTTCCAAGCTGGGCCTATTTAACTTGATAAGGATAGTTGATTTAAAGAAAAACATTAAGTAAATGACAGATCTGGCCAGCGGCGTGAGCAGACAGCTGCCGCTCAGAGACCTGCCGAGCGCCTGCTCACTGGCCACCCGCTCGGCCCACAGCAGCCCCGACTCCTCACCACACGGAGGGTTCCCAGGGAGCGCCCAGCTCACGGCACCTGACACAGGCAGCCTCTGACCCGGGGGCTGCCAGGTCCCTGCCCCGCTCCCCCGACTCAGCTGAGATGAGGCCCCGATCGATGCCAGCCTGCAGGCTCTGGCACACGTGCCCCCGACCCCCGCCATTAACGACAGAGCTCCTGCAGTGATTTCCCCGGCTCTCAGCCTGACCCTGTGGTGAGGAAAATCAAGCTGAAATTAGATCAAATTTCAAATGTTAAGCTAACCAATTATAAAAGCAATCACATAGAAACACACGTTTTTCAAAAACACTGTTGTTTACTCTGCCCTAATTAAAGCAGACGAGGCTCCATGCCGCTGATTTGTGAACTCATTGTCAGGGTTACCCTGTGGGAGGCGTGTTTGTTTTCACGTTACGCTGGTGATACAGAGCTTGCTTCCAAGCTGGGCCTATTTAACTTGATAAGGATAGTTGATTTAAAGAAAAACATTAAGTAAATGACAGATCTGGCC